TCCTATTATGCTTTTTCACTTTTTCAACTTTAGTTAGTCAGTAATGTTGCTGTTTGAGCATAAAAAAAGATCTGCAAAGTTACAAAGCTCAAAGTCCACTTCAAAAGGAGATATTTTATTTAACAGAAATCACTTTTCAAAAACTAAACTGAATGACTCGTTTGGACTACAACGCATATTTTCCGGGATTTGTGATATCACAAATATCGACGAATGGGATGAGACCTGGTTGAGCTGCACTAGAGAAGGCAACGAGTGTTATCACTATGTCAGAGACACGCTAGCTTTCCCAAGGCAGACGAATTTGGAGTGATACTGGTTACAATCATCCAGGTTTAAATTGCGCTAAAATTGATTTGATTTTGAAGCAATATTTACTCTGAAGCTCGCAGAAGGCGGGCCTTCATTTGATACAGGAACTATTGGAGCCGTTCATGCCATACTGGGGAGAGAGTGTTGTAATAAGTGTAAAATGTAAAATATGTGAAAAATAATGTTTTTCAAACTACCTAGTATGAGAGCCTCTTCTAGTACACCCCCAAAATAAAATCAAGACTTTGTAAAAGAGCATAATAGGACCCCTTTAAATTAAATTAAAACTTTACATTTTTTTCCCAATAAAAAAATTATATAATAATTTGTATGAAACTACAATAGAACTGAATTAGAGCAAAATGTAACACTACTGTAGGTTTTAAAGTAGGTGTTTGAAACTAATTTTCATGTTACAGTAATGTGTTCTTAGTGTTAGTCTGATGTGATTATAGTTAGACAGGAGGTTTAAGAAACATTCTTCTTCTTCTTCTTATATTTGATTAATCCATGCTGTTGTGCCTGACAACATTCCATCTCACCTCAAAATTAGCAATGAAAAGTACTTTTTATAGGCTTCAGTGCACATAGGCAATTAAATAATTTTCATTTTTATTGTTATGAATATTTCACTGTTTAAAATTATTGCAATTCAATATTTTTTTTTTATTTTTGACTTTTAGTTAGTTGAAACATTTGTTGCAAAACTAAATCATCTAGATTTTTCCATTGCAGGAAATACTATGCTACATTTAACACAGTTGTGTGTCATGGAACCACATTGAGGTTTCTTTCTGTGAGCATATTGATCTGATTATACTCAGAGATAGTGTTGGTGATGTATTTGTGTTTCCAATTCAAGTGAAACCCAAAGACCCTTTGCTTACAGACTGAGCACACCCATAATGCACTTGAGCATGCATGGTTCATTAGTCTTATGTTTTAATGTACAGTACCAAAATAATGGATGGGTAGCATGCTATCATTAATACAAGATTCATTTTGTGTTTTCAATTCCATTCAATAATAAATTTAAAATAAATGAAACACAAAGCTCCCAGTGTCAAGGCTCACTGTGCTTTAATTGCTGAGTAGATGACTGCATAATTTCTGTCCTGTAGATATTGAGACATACATTGCAAATGAATCACAAACATTTATAGCACACGTATCATTACCAAATCAAAATGACAATCTGAAATGTTTATGAAAGAAGTTGTTTCATAGCTGACCTCTGAACTTGCATGATTTCTTTTAAAACACTTGTCAGCTCCTGGAAATAAAATCAGTCATAGATTTAACATAGATTTCTCACTATATAGAACACACAGAAGTCAATTAAATGTCTGTTTTACCATGACTAGATCCTGCTACTGTCACTGAAGCATAATGGATGTCCTCATCTTCTTGTGATTTGAATCCAGTGACGTGACCTTCATCTAGTGAAACAATATGACAACATCTCGTATTTCAAAACTCATCACAATCAGGAAAATATTCAATGGACAAAATGGACACTTAAACATGTAAAACATTTCTAGATATGAATTAAGGTTAAGCTGCATCTTTTAGCCTGATCCAGCTAATAAGCATGTGTGTACTAATAGGCAATGTCTCTGTAAAAAAGGCAATTAGCAATTTGAAATGAAAGACAGGACTTTCATTCACTTCCCATAGAGAATGTTACAATTTGACCAATTCATTTGGACAATGTTCTCCTTCATATACTGTCTCTGAGATGCGCTCACCTGTTTTTCGCTGACATTTAAAAACTAAAAGTCCCAGCAGAATCAGCACACTGACAGTAACAACACAAGCCACGATGATCTCGATTTGTAGATGACTGTCCTTTGTCATGGTGTCTTCTGCAGACATGTTGAGCCAGATAATTACAACAGTGTCATGATTACACAGTGATACATTTTATTTTTACATTTATATTTTGAGCATTCAATCTGTGTTAAAGTAAAAAATATTGTATATTAATGGTTCAAAAATATTACCTTGGTTTGTTATAGATGAGCTTTCTGTTGGAGCATTTGTATTTGATGAGGTAAGACTGATTGTTATAGGGGCCAGAGCTCTGAGTGTATTCTCAGTAAAAACTGCACACTGCCAGTCCGTTTCATAGCTGGCTAGAATCACTGTGAGACGTAACATGTAGTTGTTCTCAGTCATAATTTGTTTTTTGACCAGCACTCCTCTGTTCCCCTCCATCCTGAGCCAGACTAGCGTCACTGAATCAGTTACTTCAGAAACCTCACAGGTAAGAACCACTGAGTGACTCCTCAACACACCATCAGGGGGCTCCATCGAGACTGAAATCAATGAGGTTTTACATTTGGAGGAATATTGATTAAAATGTATAAAAATAAAGGAATATAATACAGGTTCAAGACACCTTAAATGCATTACACGCAATGTTAGTTGTTTAACTAATTCTCACTCACTGAATTGCACCATCTCTCTAAATATTGTTGCATCGATACAAAATTGTTAATTGTTAAGGAGTATTATTGAAACAGAAACATCCCTTTAAACAGCTGAGAACAAAATGTTGCATGTAAGTGAGAAAACAATGTAAATTTGTTACAAACCTCTGATGGTGCGTAGCATTGTGGTTGTGTAGATTGTTGTTTCAGTAATACACCTGTATGTCCCACTATAATTGAAGTTCACAGGTGAGATGTGAAAGATAAAAAATTGACCAGTGTATGTAGTAGAAGAATTTCTTCCTGGTTTAATTGGTCCTTTTATTTGAACTTCTCTTCCTTTTTCTACAGCTATCAGATCAGTCTGTGAATTAGGTCTCTGTTCCCATGTCCACCTTAACCTGTGGTAGTTCTTTTTAGACTTGCAGATCAGTGATACACCACTATTATTGGCACTTTGCCTGTAAATTGCATGCCTTTTATTCTGTGAATCTGGAAAAATATAGAGAGTATAGCTTTGTGGAAAAAGTAGTGTACCAAGTAACTTAAATAGCAGTTTTAGTCATTATCCACTGAAAATATCTTATTCACACTTTGACACATTCAAACCTGTTGCATTAACAATAGACTGGAGAAGTTCTTTGATTATATACAATATGCCATTTAAAAAAAAAATGTAATTAATCACATACTTCACATACTTTGGAACAACAATTTGGAGATCACTATGACTGTGTACACACAACACTGACACAACTGAATGTACTTACATGGAGTAACGTTAAGAGTCTGAATCCTAACAGTTTGTACTCTTCCATCTTTCATCAATCTACAGTAATATTCCCCTTTACTGCGTTCATCAACAGTGTGTAAGATGATGTAGGCAGAGTTGTTGTACATCAGAGTGGTGTTGGGTGTTTGTTCTCCATCTTTCTCCCAGTGCAATGTGGAGGATTTAGACAGGAGAGGAACGTCACATCGCAAAGACACGTCAGATCCATGCTGAACTTTGAAGAAGTGAAATTAAAACAGAGTGAACAAATACCAGGGTTGTTGTATTACAACAATTGATTGGAAAGATTGAAAGATTAGAATTATGATTTGAGGTTTGGTAAGGGTTACTTAATCACATTATTACAGTCACAAGCATTACTCACATATTAAATAATATTAGATTATGTTTTAGTTACCTGGCTAGATTTACATAATTAAATTATGGTACAAACACAGAGAATTAAAATTGGTAAATTACAGTAATGATGGTTAAGACTATTTCAAATATCCTTCTCAGCTAAACATGACTGATATGTTTCTTAACAGAATCAACTCATTCAACAAAACAAGCAAGCAAAAGCATGCAAATATACAGTATAGGCAATTGTTTATTTAGGTTCAGGCTTGTAATACTCACCTTCTTGAGATTTGTAACAAAACCCAATTTTCAACATTAATAAAAAAATTGAGATGATATGCATGGTGTTGTGTTCAGTCTTATTTTAGAGAGGATGAAGAAGTATCAGTCTTGTCATGCAGAGAAAGAGGAAATGAAAGGAGAGGTTTTTAGAAAAGGGTTCAAAATCAGATCAAACATCTGGTACAAACAAATGTGGTAGCATATTACTGCGAATGGATGGTCTTGAAATATGTTATAATATGGAATTATGTGGGGGTACTTACATTAAATATGATCATCAAAGAGTGTTATGTAACTAAATACAGAAAAATACTGGCATTTTAAATAGCCATGTGGTTCAGCTAATGTACTTTTTCAGTAGCTATTTGGGAACAGGATCGTTGAAAATGGCACATTTTTAAATAATGTTATAACACTTGCAACTTAGGTAATGATCATAGCAAACAGCTTCTGTGTGTTTAGGTGCTTCCATCTTCTAGAATCTAGATCACAGCGTGTTGACTGCTGCCCTCTATTGGTGATGTATTGGTAAACACATTTTGAAAGTGCACGTCTGTGCAACTACTTACACAAAATTGAAAAAGGAAAAGCACTTATAATACATGTTATGTAACAGATAAAGTATTTCTTTGTATGAGGCAGTCTAAGAGTACACACAGTTGTAACACGTTCAGTGTGACAATATTATTTTTAATCTTCCTTCTCTGTTTAAATTACAGTCAAATTACAATAAGAACGAAGCCCATTTTCTACTCTCGCGATAACTGTTAATCTGACACGAGAAAGTAAATATCAAATATGGCGACGTCCATCGTCCATAGCAACATAGTTGCCACAGTGCAAAGTCTTATTACATTTTACACGATTTTATTTAATACATGAGTCCAAACGAGGATCTAGTTTTTTCTTCAAATCCGATTTAACGGAAAACAGCTCTAAATGCTATTGCATGTACAGCGCTGTATTTTAATCAGTGTTGGGGAGTAACTAGTTACATGTAACCAGTGTGTAAGATGATGTAGGCAGAGTTGTTGTACATCAGAGTGGTGTTGGGTGTTTGTTCTCCATCTTTCTCCCAGTGCAATGTGGAGGATTTAGACAGGAGAGGAACGTCACATCGCAAAGACACGTCAGATCCATGCTGAACTTTGAAGAAGTGAAATTAAAACAGAGTGAACAAATACCAGGGTTGTTGTATTACAACAATTGATTGGAAAGATTGAAAGATTAGAATTATGATTTGAGGTTTGGTAAGGGTTACTTAATCACATTATTACAGTCACAAGCATTACTCACATATTAAATAATATTAGATTATGTTTTAGTTACCTGGCTAGATTTACATAATTAAATTATGGTACAAACACAGAGAATTAAAATTGGTAAATTACAGTAATGATGGTTAAGACTATTTCAAATATCCTTCTCAGCTAAACATGACTGATATGTTTCTTAACAGAATCAACTCATTCAACAAAACAAGCAAGCAAAAGCATGCAAATATACAGTATAGGCAATTGTTTATTTAGGTTCAGGCTTGTAATACTCACCTTCTTGAGATTTGTAACAAAACCCAATTTTCAACATTAATAAAAAAATTGAGATGATATGCATGGTGTTGTGTTCAGTCTTATTTTAGAGAGGATGAAGAAGTATCAGTCTTGTCATGCAGAGAAAGAGGAAATGAAAGGAGAGGTTTTTAGAAAAGGGTTCAAAATCAGATCAAACATCTGGTACAAACAAATGTGGTAGCATATTACTGCGAATGGATGGTCTTGAAATATGTTATAATATGGAATTATGTGGGGGTACTTACATTAAATATGATCATCAAAGAGTGTTATGTAACTAAATACAGAAAAATACTGGCATTTTAAATAGCCATGTGGTTCAGCTAATGTACTTTTTCAGTAGCTATTTGGGAACAGGATCGTTGAAAATGGCACATTTTTAAATAATGTTATAACACTTGCAACTTAGGTAATGATCATAGCAAACAGCTTCTGTGTGTTTAGGTGCTTCCATCTTCTAGAATCTAGATCACAGCGTGTTGACTGCTGCCCTCTATTGGTGATGTATTGGTAAACACATTTTGAAAGTGCACGTCTGTGCAACTACTTACACAAAATTGAAAAAGGAAAAGCACTTATAATACATGTTATGTAACAGATAAAGTATTTCTTTGTATGAGGCAGTCTAAGAGTACACACAGTTGTAACACGTTCAGTGTGACTTTTTAATTTTTAATCTTCCTTCTCTGTTTAAATTACAGTCAAATTACAATAAGAACGAAGCCCATTCTCGCGATAACCGATAACTGTTAATCTGACACGAGAAAGTAAATATCAAATATGGCGACGTCCATCGTCCATAGCAACATAGTTGCCACAGTGCAAAGTCTTATTACATTTTACACGATTTTATTTAATACATGAGTCCAAACGAGGATCTAGTTTTTTCTTCAAATCCGATTTAAACAGTGTTGGGAAGTAACTAGTTACATGTAACGGAATTACGTAATTTAATTACAAAATAAAAGTAATTGTAATCAATTACAGTTACTGAGAAAAAAACATGTAATTAAATTACAGTTACTTAGGACAATGTTAAGGATTACAAAAGGGGTTACATCTGCTTTTCTTCACACACACTCCCACATACAGATTTAATTGATTTATTTCATAAATTGCAGCGACTGCTCTAAAATATGAAACTCCAATGTTTCAGGAGTTTAGAACAAGCTTATTCGATAACTCTTTTATTTCCTATATGGGTTTATGTAGCTATGCTTAATTTTTTAAAGATTAACTGTTTTTTTCCAAGGCATTGTTAGATTCCAGTGTTTACTGTCATAGCGATGTAAAGATTTGATTCAAAAAACAGTATCATAGCTAATAAAATATTTCTTGTTGTGATCTTAAAGGGGTGGTTGATTGCGATTTCTCTTTTTTAATGTTAGTTAGTGTGTAATGTTGCTGTTTGATCATAAACAATATCTGCAAAGTTACAAAGCTGAAAGTTATGGAGATATTGTCTTTTAAAATTCTGGCAGTTTAATGCCTACAAAAACGACTGGTAAGGGACTACAGCGAGTTACTTCCCGGGTCCGTTATGTCAAGAACCCAGAATTTTACATAAACCCCGCCTCCGGGAACACGCAGCAAAGTCTCTTCAATAATATCCTCTGCTTCTCAATCGGGCTCAAACTGATAAGCGATATTAACGACACCGTTGTTTACAATACAACCGGAGCACATGCCACTGAGGTGAGGGGCGGGACGGTTAGACTCGCACTAGAGGCGGTTTAGCCAATCACAACACACTGGGCCAGCTAATCAATCAGAGCCCATCGTGTATTTCTGAGGGAGGGGCTTCATAAAAGCAGGAAATGATTAGGGCGTTCAGAGGAGAAGGGACAGAGAGGTGTCGAATAAAGGTAAATTATGTGAAAAATAATGCGTTTTTTAACAAACAAAGCATTAACACGTTAGACTGCACCCCATAAACACAATCAAACCTATAAAAAAAACAGTCAACCACCCCTTTAAACTCATTCTTAACAAATGCAATATGTTCCTCTAGGGGGCGGTGTACTGCACAATCTATGAAAGGCTTTGTAAGCTTATGTGCTTACATTTCAATAGCATGTGGTGTGCTATAGTTCTGCAAATTCAAACGATATCTAACTGTAATTCTATGAACCAGTAACAAATTGTATGAACCAGCAACAAGACCACACCCTTTGAGGTTGAAATGTCAGACTCTGTATTTTAAATTAATTTATTCACATTTCTGAATTTTAAACTAAGTCAAAACAACTGCAATGTGTTCCTCTAGGGAGCAGTGTACTGCACATCTTAAGCTTTTTCTCAATTTTTACATTTCAGTAAGTTTTTTTTTTTTTTGTCTTATAGTTATGTGAATAATATCAACCATATTCTGTTACACCAAATACACAAAATAATGATCTTTAAAAAATTCTAAATTAATTTATTTAAACTTCTGAATGTCAAACTTGGTCAAGACAAGTGCAATATCTTCCTCTAGGGGGCGGTAAACTGCATAATCTTTGTAATGCTTTGCAAGTTGTTTCTCAATTGTTCCATTTCAATAGCTTTTGTTGTGCTATAATTCTGTGAATAAAACCAACATCTAAATGTTTTTTATGAACCAGTAATAAGTCACACCCCTTAGATCTGAGATTTATTTTTATACATCTCACAAGTGAAGCATTTAAGTGGAATAATTGTGCTTTTTGCTCTTGGTTTTGCACTTTGCAGACGGTCCCTATCCTGCACTTTTACATTATAAGGTGTATTGTATCAGTTACAATACCTTAAGGCAGATTAAAACAAATAAAACACATTGTGTGTTCTCTTCTACATTTGAAAACAATTATAACACATTATGTTTCTTGTCCTTGTGCTAAATCGTTGAAGAACTATTGAAGATTTCCGAGGCTGAATCTCTGACAAATGTCAAACGTCGAACCAACTTTGTATAGGTCTGTGTTTGTAATGTCCAGTAATGATTAACTTCTCAGCAGATGTGCAGTAATTTGCTCTGAAGATTCGCTCTGAAGTCACAGTGAAGATGACTGAAAGATTGTTTGAAGAGAAACGACATGCCTCCCTCTATCAGAAATATCGGTTTGGTCCACCTGATGAGCTGAAGAAGCTTGTTCTCCATTATCTGGACAAAAAGGTAAGATTCGTGTTATTATTAGCGTACGTTTTGAGCGCAACAGTCTGGCATGTTGGTGTCGTGTGCACAACAGCTGAATCACTGCATGTTTGTTTGGTAACTGTGAGAGACCCTTCCAAAATATGGAGCGCATACATTATAAAACCATTTTAATACATTATTGTAATAAAAATTATAATAATAAACCATAAAAATAACATACTAAGGTTGTAATTATATTTATACTACTAAAAAAATATATATAAAAATTAATAGTACAATATAAAATTAATTTAGATTGTATACGAAAGCACAGTGGGGTTTATTGCCATTTTACCATGTCCAATAAATCATGGTAACACCATACTGTTTCTAAGTTACCAC